TAAGTGTTTTTGAATTCTCATTTTTCTTAATATTATCCATAATGTGTTAGGATCCACACAGTCAAATGTCTTTGCACAGTCAATATAACACAGGTAAACATTTTTCTGGTGTCTTTCTTGCTTTCAGCCAAGATCCATCTGATATAGATATACTGCTACAACCATTTTTAAACTGTTTTCACCAAAATTTTACTTGTTTGTGATATTAATGATATTGTTCATTAGTTTTTTCTTTCTTTTGGATCACTTTTCTTTGGAATAGGCACGAGATAGATGTATGTTCTCTAGTGGGGTGGCCAGGTTGCTGTCTTCCAGATTTCTTGGCATAAACGAGTGAGTGCTTCCAGTGTTGCACCGTTTGTTGAAACACTTCAATGGGTAGTCTGTCAATTCTTGGAGCCTTGTTTTTCACCAATTCATTCAGTGCATGTGGTAGTTAAGGTTATGTGTCAATTTGTCTGGGTTGTGATTTTGAGTGGCTTGGCAGCTTGATGTAGTTATTCCCTATGAGGTGTAATCCATACTTCAGACTGTAGTCTTTGATCTTCAGTAAGTGCTTCAAGTTCTCTTCACTTTCAGCAAGCAAAATTGTGTCATCTACATATCACAGGTTGTTAATGAGTCTTCCTCCAATCTTCTTCATTTAGCCCAGCTTCTTGGATTATTTGCTCAGCATACAAATTGAGTAAGTATGGTGAAAGGATACAGCCGGATGAAAGCCTTCCTTAAACTATGCAGTATCCCCTTGTTCTGTTTGACTTGCAACCTCTTGGTCTATATATAGGTTCCTCATGAGCACAATGAAGTGTTGTGGAGTTCCCATTCTTCTCAATGTTATCCATACATTTTTATGATCCACACAGTCGAATGCCTTTGAATTATTATATGAAAAAGCATTATAGAAGTATATATAATAGTGACTTACCCACATGTGTTGTAAGAACATTAAGTAATGAGATGTGATCTGAGAACATAGAGAAAGCATACATAACACTGAAGTAGAGTGGTTCCAAGATTGGTTAAGGTAGTGAGTAATTCATTGACATCCCCAGGAACTCAGCCTTGGTCCACCTCTGAACCTCACTAAATAGACTTTATCTTCATGGCCCAAGATGAGTGATGTTGTTCTCGGCATGATACTTATAGTTCAAGATGTCTGATCTTGAGAAGAAGAGTGAAGAGAAGAAAGAAACTTTTCCCTTTCCATCATCAAAGGATTTTCCTTTGGGATTTATTGGGTGAAAATATGTCACATATTTATGCATTAACCAATGTATTATGCATAGAGGAATCAAATTATCA